CCATCCACCCACCCACCCACCCACCCATCCATCCATCTATCCATCCACCCACCCACCCACCCGTCCATCCATCCATCCATCCATCCATCCATCCATCCATCCATCCATCCATCCATCCAAGGATGACACACAAGTTCTTCAGCAAAGGAAAAATAGTTCAGAAGATGGGTTCCAGCCCCAGGCCTGTTATGGGGCCACATCAGTGCAACTGATCAAGCAGCAGCCCTAAATTCATTCGTCCATGTAAAATAAATAGATTAAACACAGAGTCACACAAAGTCGCACAGTGGCATAAAGAGTATGAACCTAAGCTATAGGATTAGACAAGACTGAATTTGAATCTTGACCCTGCCATCTTACTAGTTCTATGACCAACACTGAAAAGAAACTTACTTAAATTCTAGAAGTCTTGGGCTAGGGATAAAGTTCTGGAGTAGAATGTTTGCCTAACATGTGCAAAAGTCCTGAGTTTGATCCCGAGCATTGCCAAAAAAATACAATAAAAATCTATAAGCCTTTATGTGTAACATGGAGATAGTCTTTATGTATGGTACGGAAATAAACAGAAAAAATCTACAGATATTAAAATGAGACTGAAATAAAATAATTTATATATACACAAGACTTCATATAGTGTCACAATAATTACTAGGCATTAATAATTTTGTTTGTTTGTTTTGAGACAATGTTCCTCTATGAGCTCTGTCTGTCTGGAAACTCAATTTGTAAACTCGGCTGCCCTTGAAGCAACAGAGATCCACCCGCTTTGGCCTCCCAGTGCTAAGATTAAAGGCATGCATCACCACACCCAGCTTGTCACTAGCTATTATGACAGTGTGCTGCACTTGGCCATATGCTGGGAAGCAGGAGTGGTGGCTCAGTGAGGAAGCTGCCTTCTCAAGGAGAGACTATGTGATACTAAGGAAAGATAGTTCCGGATAAGGATGATGAAGGCGGAGACAAGACTTGCCATGTTTAAAGGAAGAAGGACTTAAGGCATCCTCTTTTCCAATGCAAACATGAAGGGAAGAAAGAAACAAATGACCAGTTCACAGCTGCATGAGCTCAGACTGAAAATCTAATCGCCAGTTCAGTCTGCTTGCTAGGTTAGTTTTTTTTCTCCCTCTCTCTCTCTATGATAATTTCTACAGTAAAAAGTTCATATATGCCAAAGGTGCCTGGAGGCTTATCAGAACTCGGGGTCCCTCGAGGGGTGTTGAAAAAGATAGGAACATATATAGTATGAAAAAAACCTCACCCTGTCTGGGGTAACTATGTGTAATTTTTAAGCTCTACAGAAGCAGGGAATTCTGCTTTCTGCATGGGGGACCTAGGACATTGCCTGGCAGAGCACAGGTTACCAGGAATGACTGGCAAAAATAAATAAGTAGAGGTGTTTTGTCTGCCTGGCATGAATGTGCTCTACCCAAGGTAACATTCCTGAAGGAAATACACTGGTGGCAGGATGGTATCTGGAGGCAAATTTGCGATGGCTTGCTGTTTCTTTTCCTGCTCTGTCTGCTCCACTGGTGTCGCAACAGTTCAGCTTTCTAGGGATGACCCTGCCTGCAGCTCTACAGACACCACCTCTGCTTTGCAAGGCCACTGTGGAGGGTGCAATACAAAACGAGGCTGTGCCTTCGGCCTCCCCGCTTAAGATACAACACAGGGATGTCTGGATCACGGGAGGCAACACTTTCTATACACAATATGGCGGAAGAAGGAAGGATTCCAGTGTCCCAGATGAATCCTAGCAATCATCCGAACTGTAAGCAGAAGGGATGCCCCAGCAGTACCGGCCGAGATCCAACCGCAACACAAACCATGCACCCTCTATCCCCCACTGTTCCCTACTCTAAACAAGGCATCTTCTGAAGAGCGACAGATAAAGAAAGCAGGACAACCTAGGGACCACCATCATGCCAAGGGACACTGAGCAGGACTATGCAACATTCGAATCACTGGGAATCACTTTGGAAAGTCCTAATGCCGCCCCAGTGCCCATTAGAACCTGGACATGTGTCCTCGAGACGACATTCAAGCCAGAGGAACTGGCATTTTCTTGGACACAACTGGTGAGGGTGGGAAGTCAGGTGATTCTTTTGCTCTGGATGCTCCAATCACATTTTATCCCCTGGGCTGGGTACCAGTGGAAGAGGAGCAAACAGAAAGGACACAGCAGGGGTCGATGCTTTAGAGACACAGGGGCATGCTGGTCTCAAGGCTCTGCTGAGATGTAGTTGACAACTCGGAGTAGGGTAGAGTCGTTGAGGCAAAGTGTAGCCAAGAAAAATAAGGGAGAGGGGGAAACGAGTAAATGAGAGAAGACGAGGAGGTCATGTGATGGTACGTAAAAATGAAAGGAAGGAAAGCAGACAGTATGTGGAGAAAGGGGGGGACCTTAGAGAAGGGAAGGCTGTGGCTTACAAATAAAGCAGAGGGTCAAGGGAAGGGGCAGCACCGCAAGTGAAGGCGCTTTGCCAGGCTTGCCTGAGCCTGAGGTCACATCTCAGCACCAACGGTGAAGGTAGAGAGCCAACCCCCAAAAGATGCCCTCCCTCGGATATCCACATATGTACCTTGGCACACACCCCAACCCAACCCTCCCCCACTCACAAATAACTGTAAAAAACAATGAGTCTGAATTTACAACCAAATAAAATAAAATACAAAGCTGGAGTGAGCATGAACTTAAGAGATAAAAACCTCGAGAAGAAACAACAACTCATTTGGCCTCCTAGATTACATTAACTCTGTCATATGTTAGGTATTTCTAGCTTCCCCCCCCCCAGTCATGTCTTCATCAGATATGAATGAAAATATTGAGAAATAAGGGTCAAGAATGTCAAACTTTTCAGAGCCATTATGGGGAGGAGGTCAAAGATTCCAGGACAGCTGGTCAAGTCCCACGAGCACCATCACAGAGCCAGAGTTTCTCCCAGGGATCCACCTGGGTCAGCATTCTGTGTGCATGCGCGCGCTTCCCCTTCCCAACCTCCATCACCTCGAAGGTAAACACTCACGCAGGTGCGCTGGCAGGTGGATCGAGTCTTCCTCCATCCTGAGCGCCCGAGGCACTGGAACATGAAGCGGGGTTGAGGACCCGTAGCTGGCCACTGGACTCTCTGGAGGTGTATATGAAATTCGTTCCTGCTGTTAGGAAAAGGGGAGGGAGAAAAGAAAATGAAATGTTGCAATGGAGGTGTGAAACTCTGAGCAAAAGGTGGGAGGGGCCGACGCAACAGCCGCCTGCCCAGAGAGCCCCTACCAGAGGTGTCCAACCATCTGATACCACAGCATGGCCCTGTTGTCAACAACTGGGTTGGGCACAGACACAGTTACCCTGGATACATGCAGCCCACTGGCATCATCGGATTAGACATGCCCTCGAGTAATACCACCTTTTAAATGCCTTCTGTATTAGTTTAAAAACAAAACAAGCAAAAAAAAAAAAAAAAAACCAAACCACTGGAAAGGTAAAAACTGGTCTCAGGTCAATAGGGGTCCACACCACCGGTTTGTTACCAGGATAAGGAGGGGCAAGATGAGCAAGGGAAAACAAGAAGTCTAAGAGTAGCCTTCCAAAGCAACACCCCAACATTATTCTTCCAAGTCACACACTGAATGTCACCAATGCATTCAAACCATGCTTCCGCTTCTCTGGCAAGATCCCCAGCTTCTAATCAGAGTATGATTCGATACTCGAATCCAGCAAGAGTGAGCTGTACCAGTAAGTGGGAAAGTAACGATTTCTAAGTCCAAAGACTTAAGATCTAGATTTATTTTTTTGTCTTCATTTCTGAGAAGTGGTCTCTGACAGCCCAGGCTGGCCTCCAACTCACTATGTACGTAGCTCAGGCTGGCCTACAAAACCTGATACCCCTGCCTCTATCTTCTGAATGCTGAGATTAAACACACGCATGACCATGCCTGGTTATTCAGTGCTAAGGGCTGAACGCAGAGCTCCATACACACTCAGCAAGCACTTTACCGACTGAGTTATAGCCCCAGATGATTTAATTACATTCTCTTTCACTATCTCGCTATATCAAAACCACAACCCCAAACAGCCAGTGTTTAAACGTCTCTTCTTCAATATCTACATGAACAAGGATCCCCTTGCTCTTTCTTCCTTCCCATCACAAGCAATTATTTCCTTTCTCTTTGAAGTATTCCAGGGGTCTTTTAAAATCTATTTGACCATGACTGAGATATTCGCCAACTGACAAGGAGATGAGCGGGGCTACAACAGATCCACTGTTCAACTTTACACAATCAGTATTCGCTGGATCACTTAAAGCCCAACGAGCGATCGGAGAAGGGTCTTTATAACAGTAACTTGGAAACAACTACTGTGTCCAGCAAGAGCAGACACACAATTTGCAGTTGTAATCTACTCAGCAACCACCAGCCTGACTTGCAGTCCACACGTAAGTCTAGCTTCCAACAGCGCCTTTGATTTAGCTGGACAAACAAAAGTGAGAAATGCAAGGTCCAAAAATCAACCTGGAGGAAAGATCAGTAAGTTGAGACTAGGAAAATAAAGTGCAGGGGCAATAGTAAATTCTAGACGAGGGTGAAGCCAGGAGGGGTTGGCCAGGTGCACAGTCCTCGAAAGGTAGATACAAGAAGTTCAAAAGAGCCAGCCTGGGCTACTTAAGACTGAGCCTCAAAAAGTGTGGGGGGGGGTGCGGGGCAGGTCCTTATATTTTCTTTGGAAAGACAGATCTTTAACACTGTATATTTCATCAAATAGGCAAGGGGAAGGAAGGGAAGTCCAGGAGTCCTCTTGGCCCTGGAACCAAAGTCAAGCTTTCTTCTGCTCAGAGCCTGGAAAGTTCAGCGCTTGGCGTGGTAAATTTCAATTTTAAATGAATATATATATATGTGTGTGTGTGTGTGTGTGTGTGTGTGTGTGTATGTGTGTATATATATACATACAGACACATACACACACACACATATATATACATACGTATACATATATATATATATATATTAATTATAGTTTCCAGATGGAATCACCATACTTTCCCTAAGGCATCTTCAAGCAGCAAGGATTCAGCTAGAGTAGCATTTAAACACGCATCATTCAATGATCCTGGTGACGTTCTCCATCCAAGGCAGGCCCACGTACCTAGACTGGATTTCGACGTCAACCAAGATGTCTCCAGATGCAAAACATCCAACTTCCCTTTTTCAAAAACAAAACAAAACAAAACGGACAGAAACCCTACACACTGAGTATTTCAAGTCATTCTAATAGACACATAAGTTACTCTTTCTAGTGTTTGAGTGTCTGTTTTGGGGCCTGTGGGTAAGAGAGGCAACAATCTATAACTGCATATATGCAAAGTGCATCTTAAATCTGGAGAAGGCTGCCCCATCCCAGGTGCAAATAAGCATTTGAGCACTTCAAGCACACGACCATGACATCATCGAATAAATTCTCTACGCTCCTCAAATAAGCCCCCAGTCTAATTACATCTAGATATCAATAGCTAACTCCAGGTCCACAAACAGCTTTGTTTTGTTTATTTTTTACATAAGTGAAACTATTGATGGAGAAGCCTGGTATTGTCAAGGGGTCTTCAAATGGCACGGCACAAGGATGAGAAAAAAGAGAGGGAGGGGGTATTTCCCAAGAACCTCATGCTTGTCTGTAAGAGAGGAAGCCACTTCATGACAGTCTCCCACTACAGAAGTTTCTACTTTGCATTGTGGGAGATTCACCACCAGCCCAGCAACCAGGGACTGGCTGGAGTCACCGTCACAGTGCATATATTCCTGGCTGCGATTTTATCATTGTGCTGTGCCTTTGGCACACGGCAGCTGCTTAGTAAGCGTTCACGTCTACAAAGGTCCTGACCTCACAGCTACACTGATGGCATGTGTCAGTGCTGGCTCTGGGACCCTGTGTGATGCTCCCTGTCCAGCAGTATTAGATAGAGTCATACTCTTGCATGATGAGATCTACCGGCAGCAGGCCAGAGCCTGAGCGGTTCTGGAACCTGACTGGGAAGCCGTGAGCGGAGGTCTGGCTGTGAAAGGGTCAGACCCCATCCACACCACGGGAGTCGCTACTTCAACCACAAAAGGGAAAGCAACCTGTGGGCAGCAATGACTACCTACTGGACCCCGGGGCTTAGCAGCCAGCAAAGACCCTGGGAGACTGTTACCTGGTATGCGGGCTCTTTTCTGAGAGGAACAGAATAAACAACTAGGAAGCCCACGCTGAAGACTGAATGTACTTTGTCGGTCTAACTTCTAGCCTGACTTACATGGTACTAAGTTTTTTTTTTACTCTTTCACCATAGCCATGCACTTAACATCTATACTGGCTCATCAGCAGCTACCAGTTACTAGAAAAACTAGGCATGACCATCTCTGAGACTTTTACACAGAGGGGCTTAAAGGGGACTCACATCCAACATTCTAAATCATGTGGCTCCTTCATTCTCACCACCGTTACTGCTCTTGTTTCACTCTACCCAAAGAAAAGGTGTCTAGATTAGCAACTGTTGGCCCGTTCACCTCTAAAGCAAATTGTCAGCCAGATGAAAGCCAAAGGCACTTTATTTTAAAACTGGGAGCACTAAGGATTTTTCCCCACGAGGATTATAAGCATGGCTCTAATTAAATTAAATTGTACAGACAGTGATATGAACGCACTCAGGTGTTGTAAAGAATGAGCCACGGATGGAAGTCAACGCTGTGATTAAACGTGCTGATGTGGGTGGGTGGGTGGGTGCGTGGTTGCTTCGATGCTGGGGGCGGGGGATGCTGCTCTCAAGTCTGCAGACACAACCTGCCACGCCAAGTGGCTGGACCAAAGGGAAGTGCTGTGACTTCTGACATCAACTGAAATCTCCACGAGGAGTGAAGAAGGTACAAAAGAACTTCAGTGAGGCAAAGGAAAGTTGAAGGTTGAAGGCGAGGGCTGAAATGCAAATGTTACTAACCATTACAGAAAGCTTTTTAAAACGCCATGTTCCTATAAGAGCACCTCACTGAATTTGAAATTATTTACATCTCCCTTTAATGCCGTCCAGAGCATGAAGGGCTAATGAAGGGTACCAATTTTATTCTACTTATTTTTAGCCTGTCCACTTGAAACGGCCATGTAAAAGAGGCTCACTCATCTAGTACAGGAAAACGGCATCTTCGCTTCCACTCCCCCGTCCTCAGGCCACATGGTCTAGAAGGGTCAGAAGCACAGAATTATTAACGCCACGAGGACTTCCCTCTTCTGAATTATTCAATATAGAATTGCTGCAAATTATGAGGACTTCTCTGGTCTATTCACATGCTTGTTCTTACAGCATTATGTGAAAAGGCTGAGGGGTTGGCTAGGTTAGCGCCTACTGCTAATCAAACACCTTCTGGAAATACAGACAAAGCATTTTGTGAATCAAGAACAGGAATAAAGCCGGTGTTCTTGTGCAAAGACGGTTAATGAGTTATTTCAAGAAGCTTAGATGTCCTTGATTGAGGAGCTGTTTCTAGAGATTGCTTCAACTAGAGTGTAAACACTGAGATTTTATCTCCAATTTTGTTTCTGAAGACTACGTAGAAAGTCCTGAGGAGTGTCATGGGACCGAATGGTGACTGCTTCCTGGAGTTATGAGAAGAATTCTACCACAGGTGCCTCTCTCCCGCTGCGTGCTACTGTCCACCACCACCACAAGAGACACTAAACCCAGGTAAGATGTATAAACAGCAGAGAGATCAGACCAGCCCAGTCCCTAAAAGTTAGGGGGAAAACTAATGCTTGTTGTGTAGCCAATATCAAAAGACTGCACAGAAGAAACCCCTCTCTGACCAGGTCTGTTCTGTGATTACTAAACAAGCAGGAATATTCAATGTGATGGTTAATGGCCTCTCTCAAATGCCAGCTCAATCAGCTCTGAAATTAACAGGGAGATGAGCCTGTAGGCATGCCGGTGATTAGGATAACCGAGGCGAGGAGACCAGCCTACTGTGGGTGCACCATTCCCTGGGCTGTGGTCCTGGACTAGACACAAAGGAGAAAGTCGGCTAAACATGGACACCCTGTTTCTGTACTGGAGGAGCAACAGAACCAGCTGTCTCAGCCTCTCGCTACGATGATCTCCTGATCATGATGGATCCATGGAACTGTGAACCAAAGCAAG